AGCGTCGGTAGCCTGCGCCACAACAGCTCTCAGAAAGGCGGAGCTGCGGCAGCGGTGCATGGCTCCCATGCCAGATATGTAGCGTTCTTACTTTGGTGCACGTGCGCGTCTAGTAGCCTCGAGCAACTTGCGGCACGAGCATTCTCCTTTTGGTTCCTGTGCGCATAGAGTACCCGCTGGCGCATGGGGGAAGGATGCATGGATGACAACATTGGCTCATCATGGCTGCCTTGTTGCGGCACTCGTTGTTTCCTTTCCTCGCCCCCTCCCCGCATGCCACAACTCGGCAAGGTCCCAGCCACCTAGGAGTCCCATGGGTTGGAGAGAGAGAGAGAGAGTACCCTCGTCTCTCGGCGACGAGCATCACAAGAAGCAACGGTATGTCGTGGCGGCAAGCAGCAGCAGTACGTCTTGCTAATTTTTTGTTTTGGAAACTGCCAAGGTAGTTATTACTCCCTCTGTCTCATAATATAAGATTGTTTTGCATGTGATATTACATACCTCATGTATGGAAGCTGCGTGTATTCAGGAAGTTGTCAAGGAAAGTGAACATTGATGGAGGGATGCATCCAACGCTCCAGCAAATTTCATCAACGGCCATCCCCTGGTGTGATCAAAAGCTAGGTATCAAATTAAGTGGTTTTCTTATCACATAGGCATCCTTCACTCAAATCGTTTGTATTGTTACTACATATTGCACATGGTTTCCTTTATTTAGCCGTGTCCAAAGAATGATCGACACGGCATGTTCATGAAACATTTTTCTTGAATCACATGAACATTTTTCTACGCTGTATAAGAACTTTCTAAAAGTTCACTATCATCGTTCTAACACGTGAAGATTTTTCTAAATGACATGAATATTTTTATTGAATATTATCATCATTTTATAAAATTTGCACGGACACTTTTTTTACACTACATGAATTTTTTAAATGTGTGATTATCATTTTTAATAATTGAAGTAAATTAATGTTTAAAATATATGTACTCGGAATATTAAAAACAACAACAACAGTCGCTCCCCCGGCCATCAGGCCCATCTGTGCCAGTGTGCAGAAACACGTTGCAAGGTATTTAACTAAGGCCAGAGCCCATTACGCGTAAAGGTGCAGTCTGTTAATGGCCAGAACAGAACCACAGTTTGGCAAAAAAGAGCAAGAACATCTTTGCTTTTCGCCCATGGAAGGAGGATTTATTTTAGGAAATCCAAAAAGCAATTAAGTGTTCAAAGAAATAACAAATTAATTTGAAAAGGCATTCCATACAAACACTAAAAAAACATATGGAAAACTTCCAAGTGCATATTTAAATGGAACAACTAAACAAAAACAACACAAGTTATATTTTTTTGCGGGGAGTGCATATTCCAAGTGCACATTCAAATTCGCTAGAGCACGTCATAGATTTGGTAATTTAACCACCTATACAATATAAATGTTTGAATTCCAAAAGCAAAATTTAGATATGTTTTTACATAAATTTCTGATACAAGCTACAAATTTACATAAATACTATTTTTTTCAAGAGTCCTTATGAAGATACAAGTAGCTTAAATTTTAATTATACTTAAAATAGCTAGATATTAATATAATGGCCAGTTAGTATAGAAATTTTTTTCAAAAAATTGCGTAACTATGCGATTAAAATTATAATGTAGTATGTTCCATGTAGAAACAAATTGAAGTATTGTAGGTATGTCCCATAAAAAAAGTATTGTACATAAATATTTTTGGAAGCTAGTATACAAGGTACCTCCACTTGATGTTTCAAACATAAAAAAATATAAATTATTACATATGAAGATAGAAATGAAGATATTTTGGTGCACACTAATGTGAAAGGAAGTTGTAGTGCAAACTTTAAGGTAAAGAAATAAAAAAAATGTTTGTGGAGTAAGTTATTTTTGGTGGAGTACAAACTTCTTAGCTTGCCTTGAATGTGATTATGCAGATCCTTAACAATAAATTTGATTCTTGCTAAGAAAAGTTATCTATCCATTTGGTTGAGTTGTATGCAGTGTTGTGTTCTCCTACCAAAAAAGGCCGGGCATGTGATGATTCTTGTTTTGTTTGCAGTGTACGTGTAATCCAGGACCAAGATATGACAACCTTCCATGATGTTCCGTGCAAGATTTCATTCACCCTTTTCTGCTCGAGGTAGATAAGCATCACTTTATCTGATGATGTGTAGGCATGTAATACTCTAAATAAAGCCAAATGGGATATCTTCGTTCAAGCTACCACCATCCATGTGAAGCTAGCAAGGAGTACACCGTTAGCCTAGCAAGGAGTACACCGTTAGCTTACTTTGTGTGCAGAACTACACAAAAAAAAGGAGTCGAGCCTGATTGCCTATAAGTACACATTAAGGTGAGGACATGACAGTTCAACATCCAACAGTCACACAGGCGATTTAATCAGCCTCATAGGTTAGTATGTGCATGTTTGATCTTCTCTGTTATTATAGTTTTCTGCATGTGATCTTCTGTGATAATTTCAGTTATTTGTTTTGATCAAAGGAAGCAAGCGTCACAAGGATGAGTTCTGTGGTGAAGAAGCCGGAGGGAGGGAACACCGATACTGGTGACCATCACAACCAGAAGACGGAGTGGCCAGAGTTGGTGGGGAAGTCGGTGGAGGAGGCCAAGAAGGTGATTATGCAGGACAAGTCAGAGGCACAGATCGTAGTTCTACCGGTGGGGACAATTGTGACCATGGAATATCGAATCGACCGTGTCCGCCTCTTTGTTGACAGTCTCGACAAAATTGCCCAGGTCCCCAGGGTCGGCTAGCAAGCTTAAGATCTAGCCTGCTCCTGGCGTATATGTATCGTGGCTTGATAATCTCTTCTTGGATATAGCAAGATTGAGATATATAGATCATATACAATAAGAGTTGATGCATGGAAAGTGAATGGATAATAGAATAAGTCAGAGAGCGCGTAATATGGTTATGGTTTGTATGCAAGCGTGCTTGGTGTCATATATCTGTTTACATATGGATACCATACACTCCATCCGTTCTAAATATTAGTCCTTTAGAGATTTCAATAAGGACTGCATGGGATGTATATAGGCAGTTCACTCATTTTGCTTCGTATGTAGTTCTTTATTGGAATATCTAAAAGGACTTATATTTAGGAACGGAGGGAGTATTTGAGAAGGTAGAATTGAAATAGCTTATGTGGAAAACCAGAATGTGGAACTTGAAAAACACAGTTTTGCAAGATAACTGTCAAAACCATAAAAGTAGGAGAGCCACCTAGTAAAATGAGAGCTGATGCAAGGGCAAACAAGCAACGATGTTGGTATCCTAGTACTCCCCACGTTTTGCGAGGACCCGCGTCCCCAAAGAAAGAAACAACTACCCAAGAAGTTGGCCTCCACCACCAAGCACATCCATCGACCATGGGTAGGGTGTGAGCTCTTTGGTGACTATTCCATGAAGAAAATGAGAACTATGGATGCCACTATCGCCGGAAACACCTTGGACTCAAGTATTTCGCTTAGAGAATTGCACATCACTACCTCAATGAGCCCATGGGAAGGTTTGACATATCTTACCATTGGGGTGTCCCCTCATATCCAGATGACAAATTATTCGACAAAGAAAATCAAACAAACTATTTTGATGATGCTTTCAAGGAGGACAAGACGCCCCACAAGCACCGTCAATGGTGGCATAGACACTTGTCGACTCATAGTTTTCGCTCAAAGTGCTGCTTCATCTGCCCAATGAACCCCGGGGAGGAGGCCTAACACGAACTTGTGCCATATCTGATATCAGTAACACCTGGCGACACATGATTTGTGACAACCGTCTCAATTACAACACAATCTCTTATCTAACCATTGTCAATGTTAGGAGATATATTCCATGTCAATCACGTCTAAATCCGCGCCACTCACTATCTCCTATGTTATTATCTTTCGGTCCATGAAGCTTAGACAATATGCATCATACTCTCACATTTCTTGCTTATGGATCCAATCCTTGTGTCAAATATGTTAGAATAATCTGAGGCACATCATCGATCGTTCGAGGACCAAACAATCACACGAGGCATGACACCGAGATCGTTAATGAGGCTCACCAACATGGCTACATCAGGGGCATGACTACCAGCACTCATCCCGTGACACCACCACAATACCACACTCCGGTCGCCTGGGCGCCGGCACACGCCGCCAACTCTTCCAACTTGTTTATGCTATTATGTTGGCATAGGTTACATCGTGTGTCTACCCTCTCATTATATAATTAGCCTAGGATACAAGAGTCCTACTAGGACAGTACACCATATCATGTCTACAAACTGTACGACTCCAAGTCCACGTGTAACCTATCTTGTACAAAATATTCGATAAAACTCTAACAAACTCTACCCTTGCGAATATTGTCCATCACCTTAGATCCATCCATGCGTCAAACCCCCATGTACATTGGACTTCAGTTAAGCCATGAGCACCACTGCTACTCCCAGACTCCATGTGGCTTCACCTGCAACTGTAGTTCCCTCTTTCTTCTTGATGGTCAACACTCAAGGACAATTAAGTTACTATTTACTCTAGTTTGCGCTCCAAACTTGCAGAGTATCCATTCAATGCCATCGCACACCTTATTTGACAACACCATTGTATATTCACGCTGGTATCTTCTTCACTGATATGTGTCAAAGTGAACAACTCACATATTGGACATGACATATATGAGTTAGCTGAACTCAATATCCTAGCTCTCCTTGACCGCCTGTGTAAAACTTGAAAGAATTTCACCGTCACCCTGTGATGCGGAGCATCCCTCCATCATCCCCATGGACACTACTTCGACCACACAAGCTCCAAGAGGACCCATGACAAGAGCCCAAGCACGTGCCATCCAATCCGAGGTTGACTCTCTCCTTGTTGAACTTCCCTTTAACCCATTTGAGACATGGCTACTACCTCAAACGGAGACACTTTGCATACTCAGGTACCATGAAAGCAACCAAGGAGAAGGAGTGGTGCAAGACGGACATCAAGATCAAGGAGGCATTCTCCCCAGCCTTGAAGGACCGGTACAACCGCCCAACAACCGCCCGGGCGGAACAACCGGCCAACTACCGCTCAACTATCGGCCACCATTCTGTGATCAAGCGGTGCAAGGCCGGTACAGCACCGGATGTACCGGTAAATCTCAAATGACCGGAACTACCGGCCCAACGAACGGTACAACCGCTGGAGCCCTCGACGACCATCTGCCGAAGCCAGCGCCTGACGCCAGCGGTAGTACCGCCTTCCTCGACCAGTACTGCCGCCCTCTCTGAGTCGCCAGCGGTACAACCGCCTCCTCGACCGGTACAACCGGCCTGTCTGCGCACAGTGTACGGGCCTGAGGCCCATGTGCCCTTCACTTCGCCCCCATTTGCACTAAGACTATAAATAGACCCCCTCCACCTCCTAGTTAGGGTTAGCATTGGTTTAGCTCATATTTGGTGCGAGAGCCCTTGCTCATCCACTTGGTTACCTTCTCCTCGGAGATCGCGCCTCCTCGGAGAAGATCCTTCCAAGGGATTCAAGACCCCCTCTAGGGTGGACCCCATCAAGACTTCCTCACGGAGAAGAACCCGGTTACTCTTGTATCGTCCTTTGTTGATTTTGAATCTTGTGCTACCTTATGTGTTCGGTGATCTAGCACTTGTGTGATTGATCTTGTTGGTTGAGTGATTCTCTCGTTTCTCCCCGTGTTTTTCCTTGTGTTCTTCCACTCGTTCTCCGTGCTCCTCGTAGGGATCCCCTCCAAATGTGAAAGATCGTCCACATAGGGTTCCGCCCTACATCATCTTGATATCATGAGCCATGTTGATCATGTTTTTTGAGCCCCTACCCCGTGTTTTCTAGCTTGATTTTGTTGTTTTCGTCCTAAATCCGAAAATTCCCCTCCAAAAATAACCCCAATTTTTTTTTGTGATTTGTTAGTTTTGATGATGTTTTGTTGATTTTGATCCGTGAATTTGCTTGGTTTCAAGTGGATCTAGCTTTTCCCCAAGTCTCCCCACTTCCCTTCCACGAAATCTCTCCAATTTTACCCCCGAAATCATCCATTTCCGCCCCAAAATCGCGCCACGATACACTCTACGTCAACGACCGGTACTACCGCCCATCCAAGCGGTACTACCGCTGAGTACCTCAAGCGGTACAACCGCCTGTCCGAGCGGTACTACCGCCCACTCCAGTTCCATCCATCTCAGTTTCACATATTTTCGCCAAATTTTGCCCGGAGCCCACGCATACTTCCGCATACCCACACCACTTTCCACAAACACCACCACCGCTCACCGCCACCTCCTATGACGATTTGACCACATTTTGGGTCCTTGAGATTTTGAGTTGTGGTTCCCGTGTCCTATTGTGTTTCGTCTATCTAGGTACGGTTCGACTTCATCATCACCTCGGCTCATCTTGGAAAGGGTCACATCATCGCCAAGGACGGTAACATCATCGACATCTTTGTCATACCTTGCAATTGCATTGATACCCACATGGCCTTACTTTTGCGTAGCTTACCCATCGAGACTAGCCATTGAGTATTACCGGCAACGTGACTTGTGCACATTAGTGATCATACTCCATAGCATACATACCATACCACCGTGGTGCATATCTTGGGATCCATTTGTGTGTCACAAAGTTGTCATCGCATACACCATTGTTATCTTGGTCCGTGAAGTTTTGCATGAGAAAAGAGCTCTAAAGTGAAAGAGCCACCCAAGCTTTTAAGCAAACAAGAAAGATAAGCAAAGAGCTTATAAGGAAGAACCATAGCAACATACTACATTAAGATTGTCATATTGGATCATCTTGGATCATAGCACTGAAATACCATACATATAGCATACGTGGGATAGAGATAGTTACATTTTCGCCTAGTAGGTTGTGCGCAAGTTCCGTATCCGCCTATTGTGCAATCGTGCTAGCGTCTCTCTAGTATTGTGCAACAAGAGCATTTTCGTGGATTCCACATTTTGGCTCACTTTTGGTTTGCACAATCCCACTTATCTATTTGCGTGTGTGTTTCCGTGTACCACTACTTGCTTGGTCTACTTGTTACATTTGCGAATTTGCGAATCTTTTTCAACATCTTTGAGTCAAACTAACGATTGCAATCAATTTTGTGCCACTATCCTAACCAAGCTCCACCATAAGCTTTTACTTGTGTAGGTGTGAGAACCGACAAGAATTGGTACCAATAGTGCTATTTCATTGTCCGCATTTGAGTGAACTTGATTCATCATCAACATCGGTCAAAGGTACATCGGTATAAGTTCTCCTTCTACCACTCACATTTTTGCTTGGAATGATGGATAGGCCAAGTACTTCTACCAACCCACTCTTCCTCGAGCAAGACGACGACATGTCATCATACGTCACCAAGAGCCACCTCTTTGGTGCACAACGAGCGTTGCACCAAGAGCAACAAGCAATGAGCGACCGCATCGAAAACCTCGCCACCGACTTGCGACTCTCCGAGCAACGTACAAGAGACTACTTCGACAACAAGTTCGACGCTCACAAGCAAGAGAATGATGCAAGAATGGACGAGATCCATGCCTTGATGAGGAAACGGCATCATTCAACTTCCTCATCCTCAAGACGGAGCCGCTCGAGTCGACACTCCGACGACACCTTCTACGACTCAAGTACACCATCATCAAACACACTTCGATGAGCCGCGTCTCAAGACCATCATGCATCTCGCGACCCGCTACATGAGAAGCATTCACAAGAGCAAGTTGATGAGAAAGTCCCTCGTC